CATTTTTTATCAATAAACACCAGTTAGTATATATTTTCTGGCTGGATTTCTTTGGAGAACAAGATATGGACATTGCATTTTGTAAATCTCCCATGCTAACATGTATTTTTCCTGGGCAACCTTCCTGGAAGTATTGCTGCACTCTGCATAACAGGAGTATTGCTGCACTCTGCTCAACAAATACTACTTCAGTACCTAAAGGAATTTACTGTGCATATTTGCAAACCTTCCAGCATTGCATTAAGAACTAGAATCTGGGATGGAGCAGAAATGGTTTAAACACTGGCCACAATCCCTCTCTGATTTCCCCTCTTGATTTTTAATTTTCCTCCATGATTTAATTTTCTTCCCTGGTTGAAGAGTTCTTGGGAACTAGAAAGCTTGCAATTCTTTGTAAATCCTCAGCTGACCTAACAAAAGTATTGTTATATGAATTTGGGATTCTTTTAAAAAAAAGATCAACACAGCTGCTTTTGTTTTGTAATGTGACCTATAACTCAGTGCACATTACCATCACAAAGGAGTAGCCTATCCACAGAGAGTTCCAGCCTTCTGGACATGGTGGAATTTGAATTGTTTGGCTGTGAACTGCTATCACCATAGAAGGAGCTTCACATACAGCACACCTAAGAAGGGGACGACATAAGAGTTGCAAGATTAGATTCTACTACTGAAAGCTCACCTCCATTCTTACAAGCCATCAACTGCAAGTGCAGTTCTGTTGGGGTACATTCAATCCTGCTCATTCCTCATTTCAACTAGTATGATGCCATGCCAACGGGTTTACAATCTTTAATATGAAGCATGTTGAGAAATAAACCATGGTATTGAAAATACAGGGCAGAAAAATATAAGCCATTTCTATAAGCCGTTACTAGGAGCTGACCTCAGAAGATGGAGGATCCATCACTTACCATAAAAGAAAAGAAAAAATACATCTGTAATATTTAGAAGTGATGTCAAAGTAGATCCAAATAACTGTCTTATAAATTGCCTTGGGGAATACAGTGTTACAGAAGGCTGCAGAAATGGAACGCTTGATCCTAACGCTCCAGACTACTGCAGGCAAAGTAACACCTACCTGAAATTTTTGATGGAGAAACCTTTTACAAAAGAAAAAAAAAATGAAGAAAATTCTCCAGGAAAGGAAAGGAACAAAGAAAGCCTCAGCAAATAGGAGCAAGATGGAAATTTGCTCTTTTCCTCTGCATAGACAGTTTTTGGACAAAAGGACCATTAGACCTATGACCTCTGATAGAGTTTTCCTTAGGAATAAAAGACGGATCTTTCTTAAGTATCATCTTATGGAAAATGAATTGCCACTGTTCAAGAGATAGAGCCTCATCTTCAAAAACAACTAGAAATATTGTCCAGACTAAGAATTTAAACCCATGGTAAGTTTTTACAGCTCTCTATCATGATGGCTCTAATATTGGAAGAAATGCAAAATCTGCCATCTGATCTGCATATTAGTGTGGGGGTCAGCTTTTTTGACGCATGGATCTAGCTCAGGTGATTCTAGTGCTTACCTGCTAATGAAAGGTCTGATGCTTTCTCCTGTCAGAGGAGCCATGCTCATTGGCATGGGCTCAGGGGTTGACAACCAATAAGAGTAATCGTTTCTCGAGGCAAAATTGCAGACGTTGTTAATATTGCAGAATAGGAAAGGCATTGTGCTGAATTTACGTAGGCAACTTCCAGCGGAGCCTGAAAGACCAAAAGTGAAAGGTTAATCTCCCTCATCCTATATAACACTGAGATATACAGAAAGATACAACCATGGTGTAAGAAAGGGCTAGACAAGAAATGTTCTTTATGTGGTGGCAAGGCTGAGTGTATGCATATTATATCTGTTTCTCAAATGGTAGCAATAGAGATGGACAAACCTTACTTTTCAATCTTCTATTAAAGTTTCAAGGGTGATAGGGAAGAGCACCTACCTTCAGTGAGTCTGTGAGCTTTCCAATGTCTCTCTCTTCCCAAGTATAAAGGGTAAGTGGCAGCAGAAGGGTCTCTGCCAGAATGCACACTAACTCACACCCCACCCCTTGTAAGCTTTCCTCCTTCCCCATGGATGAGAAAGGGCTCACCTTCTGGAAGGAAAAGAAGAGTGGGCTCCCTCAGATCTTAAAGTGGTCAGTAATGGCTATGAGGCCATCAGTGATGCAGAAAACCTTTTTCCCAGTTAGAAACCATGAGCTGGATCATTAGTCCCATAATTTCCAGCTGGAAAAGACACACTGTGTTCTTTGCAACCATAGACAATGTAAAACACAGAGATGCTTCCTCCTCCACTTCCTGCCTCTCTCCTAATGTGATTCTTTTCAGTATTCCTTGGATAAGGGTGAGGGAGAAACTTAGGAAATACAGGCGGGATGAAATGAGGGCCCAACTGACAGGAACCCGTGCAAGTTGGAAATCCCTGCCTCACCTGAATTTGCACTGTAACAGAAGCGTGGCAACGTAGACATACAGCAAAGCGCTGTTTTACGCTGGGTGTGGTTGCAAGTGGGCTGCTTTTGTGTTTAGTGGAAAAGTGACATCATGGGGTGGTTGATTAGAGCAAAGAGAGAAAAAGAGAAGAATTCCCCTTCTAATCTCCTGCTTCTCAGTTCTGTTAAAGTTTAAAAGGATGCCTCCCACATTCAGTACGTAAATAATGTCTGCTTACTTCTAGCGGGGGAATTAATTCTTCTAATTAACTATGGTGTATATTGTGTACCAGTAGGACATTTAAAAATGAAAAGATTTTACATTCAGTTCATTGGGGTGCTGGATTTTTCGTGTTTACTGCCCTATGTACATGCCCTTGTGTCCTGTTGATGCATGCATGCAGATATCATGTTATTGGTTTGGCTTGGAATCTGCTAGGATTTTTCTCTTCAGCCTTGTTGGAGGTTCAAAGTGTAAAAAAGACTTCTGGATTTTTTTTTTCCTGCAGAGTAAAAAGTGAGCAAAGTCACACAGGGGACATTCCTCGCTGGACATAATCAAGCAATGACACTCACAGGGGCAGGGAAGGATAAGGGAATCTGGTTCCCCCAAAGACAGTGTTGCTGAGGAGAACTTATCAATGTTATAGTACTTTCAAAAAGTCTGCATTGAAGTCCTAGTAGTTATTCTATGAATATCCTGAATAGAAAAGTTGCTTTGGAATGTAACCAAAGTGACTGTTAGTCTAAGCAAATCAGTGTGGGATTTTGCTCTGCTTATTAAGAGGCTGGTAGGTTTCAGTGATGCAGCACCTCAGACACCTTGAGAAAATGGAAGTAGAGCCATTTTGCCCAGATGTACTTATTCTTTCTAAACTCAGGTGGCTTTTTGAAATAGAGTTTTATGAACATTCAGTAAGCAGAAGCCATGTTCCTGAGGATCAGGAGTATTAGGACAAAAGAACAGAAAGAAAAATTCAGAGAGCAGTAAAATGTAGAATGAATGATAGATTTGGCCTCTGTACATATTTGAGTAAAATACACACAACTGAGAGTTGGAGGAGAGGGCCCTGAATCAAAATCCACATGGCCAAAAAGAACGATGTTTTGAATTATAGCCAGATAAGATATGGCTTTGAAAAGAAAGCCCATAAGGGCCTATAAAACCTAATTAAAAATAAAAATCTCTGAGCCTGACGTAGATTCAGAAGCTTCACTGCCCTCGAGAAACATCATTATTTCAGATAGCCAGAAAAATAAACTTTGCTCTGCTTTCATAGGCATAAAAGTCATTGTGCCTTGAACGTTCTCTTTTACTACTCAAGATACTGTCAGAGCACCTGCCTCAGGCTTGATGGTTTGCTTGTTGTTACTGCAACACTAGGGACTGCAAATCACTTTCTAATTTTTCTGGCCATCAGTTTGTTTCAAACTATTTCTATTTCTTAAAAAAAACCCTACACAATCATTGATTTTCCTAGCATGAGCAGTTTTCCAAGCGGTTCCCCCTCACACGATGTCCTTTTGTGCGTATTTCCTTTTCATGTATGCTTCTGAGTGCAATTTTACATTATGAAGTAAATAAAGTTCACAAATATGCACGGCTCATATACAGAAGTGTGAACTGAGTAAGTTTATAGAAATATATGAACCAATCTATTTCACTGCCATCCTTATGCAACAATTGATGGGACCCTGTAGGAGTGAGTTAGAAAGACTTAGCATAAAATGTGGCCCTGGACTAATATAATCCATCTCACTGCAAAACATGCTCATTTTATAGGATTCATTCTATGCTTGCTTACCCAAATCCTGGCCATGGGCTCGTTCATTGCCTTGTACATAAAGCAAAGAATATCCATAGAACATGAGTCTCGTCCCAAATGGACAGGAGGGCTCTTCTGTGGTTTGGCTGTGCCTGGTCACAAGGAAACCATGAGCCACAGAGGGACTGCCTGGTGGGCCCATCGCCCCTGGCATGCCTTCAGGACCAGGTGGGCCAGGAAAGCCTCTAGGACCTACAAGAAAGAAAGACCAGTAAACTGACATTGTAAAAAGAGAACTATATCCCTAACCTCATGGATGATTTGGTTTCAGTCATCATCAAGGAAGCCCTAATACGTTTTATAATTTCTACAAATTCCTAATTTTGTAAATTCCCAATTTTATCTTGGAATACGATCTAATGCAGGTCAGATCACAAAAACCAGAATGTGTTTAAATGGTATAAAAGCTTTCTTTTATTACAGAGGTGGAGAACAGGACTGGACCCAAGGATTAAAACTTTACTTCATTCCATTCATACAGGTGAGATGACATTCCTGGGGATGAAGCCAAAACAATCTCCCCCCACCCAATTCTACTATATGGAATTCTGTTCAAGTATAGCTCAATCTTTGCCATTCCTTGCAGTCTTGGTTCTGCTTTAGTCATCCCACACCTTCCTCTGCGGGTCGTGTTGTGGAGCCAAGACCTCTGAGCACATTTGCAGGCATTCTGGCTGCCTTCCTTGGATTGCCCCCAGGTTCAAGGGCCCTTTCTACAAAGACAGAGCTTCTGAATAAACATGTTTAGGATTGAAAAAGTGTATTTATTCTGTGCTGGAGGTGTGGGGAATACTGACTGTCAGAGCCAAAGACCTACAGCTGATTTGGTTTAAAAGGTAAGCCACCCGACCAATTACTTAACAACCTCTGTTTTCTCCTGAAAATGTACTTTCCCCTCAAGTTTATCATCCTAAAGCCCCCTTCACTGAATTCACTATGAGAGTATTAAGCTGGCTACAGTAATATGATCAGACTTGCCTGGGGGACCCACAGGGCCACTTTCTCCTTTCTGACCAGGTGTGCCATCAAACCCTGGTATTCCTGGGGGACCATTCAAACCCGCAGGTCCTGTTACACCTATTGAAATGAAAATGCACAGTCACAATTCATTTATGGAACTCCCGTCATGAAGAATAGGAAGGATGATAACAGAGCCTCCACTGGGGCAAATCAGTGTTCTTATTTTAAGAAGCACAAGAGGCCTACATCTTCCTTCATTCAATTCAACCCTATGCTTCTTTTTCACTAGCCAAAAAACCTAGAACTGAGTGCAAGTCCTCTGCATCTGTATGTCTTGTAGACACATGAGTGTTAAATTCCACAGCCCTGGGGAATCTCTAGAGTTAAACAGGGACACCTTAAATGGTTATAACTCTACTACAGATGCAAGTCACCTTTTAAAAAGGCTATCTGCATAATTTTGCAATTTTAGGCCTCCTTTGTTTGAGTACCAAAATTGTGCTTATTAGCAACTTAGTAGTATGCATGAATATAACTAGTGTAAGAGCCTTTCAACTGGTGGGCAGCAGAGGGGAATTCTGTAAGTTCAGTTTTGTTGCATTCATGCTGCCTGGATAAGGTGGTTTGTATAGTAGAGGTTATTACAGTGTCCCCTTCTTTGGCAAATTAACGATTTTGTTGGTATGAGGTAATGTAATATCATGGAAGATTTTCTTCTTGTCTGTTTCAGCATACTATATGTATTTAAAGGTACACTACACTGCACAAATCAAAGACGTGTGAATCTGAAGAATTATCAGGTTTTAATTTGCTTGGGAAGTACAAATTAGATGCATATTAAAATATGACCCCTATATATTCTTCCCTAAGAAAAAGAAAAAAAGTATTTGGCCTCTTTTATGCTAGTTTCTCATCAGTAACTATAATATTTGGAAACCATAACTTGGTCATTGCTTATCTACTTCTAGCAGATTGTTATTTTTCCTGCTCCCTGAGTTACGCTCCTCTGTCATCCCCCTTCACTCCTCCAGGGATAGGGGGATGAACAACGACGTGCGAGTATTATACAGTATAGCCTTTCACCATGCAAAAACACACCCTTTTTTATATCTGGTGCCCTGTGGGCCAGAAAAATGTAAGCAAGGTTTTTCTTCTTCTTTCTAGCAAAGTATCTAGCAAAGTATCTAGCAAAATATGATGTCACAAAACAGTAGTATAACAAAGCTATCTTTACGACAAACACATAACTTTATAACAATTCACTGTTGTATCTGTCAGGTTCAGCCTGGCATGGCACATGCCTTCCAAGCTAGCTGCCATTCCGCCTAGCTAATTTCAAACGTGCCTAGTCAGTTTCCTTGCCTCAGGCGCAGGTGATCGAAAGAGGAAATGCAAAACCGCAAGTGAACTGCAGATAGGTGGCGGCAATCAACCCGTGGCAGGAATCAATTACTTTGCAACGAATGGGACTTCCCCCAGCCACAAGCTGCAGGCAAGCAGCCAACAATGAAGACAAAGAACTCCGCAGCTCAAGCCACGCTCAACCGCCTATCAAGAGCAATCATGAGTCAGTCTCACGGGACCTGCCACACAAGCAAAGCAGCTGAAAACAAAGGACCCTAGCTGAACCTGCCATCAGCCCGGGGCAGGGAGAGCCAAGGGCAAGGGGTGAGCCAAGGATGGGCAAAGGCGGGCAGGGGCGGTCAGCAGGCGGGACTTGCAAAGCGTGGGAAATGGGGAGATTATAAAATGCTATGTAATCTGTGCCAAGCCAACCCTGGCTTTGTTTGTAACCACATGCATTACACCTGAGTAAACTGCTTTCATACGAGCCTGCATCTCACAGAGTCTTTATTCAGTGTTGAATGCGGCGATTCTTACAGTATCAAAGCAGCTACATAATTTACAAAGCCTATTAAAAGGCTCTGGATTTAGAGTAGAGCTACTGTACTGAATATAAGACATCTTGGCAGAATAAGAGATATTATTCCCAATTATATAAAGATGTGATCTCAAGCTTCAACCCTTTACCTTGTTGTCCTTTTGTTCCTGGAAGACCAGGAAATCCTTTGGGGCCAGCAGGGCCTGAAAGACCAGGTAGGCCTGCTTCGCCTTTCACAAGATGGAAAGGACCTGGAGGACCCGGTGGGCCTGGCAAACCTAGCATAAACAAAGCAGGAAGCACAATAAGCCAATGTTCATGGATGCCAGCAAGGATACAAGAATACTTTGGCTGGCCAAAGTATTAAGGTGGTGATGGGCATGGGGAGATATGGTGGAGATTGGGTGCAGGTTGTTCCTGGGGATCACAGGACTGTTGTTTCATACCGGTCTTGCGTTCCAGCTCCTCAGGGTTAGCCCAGATACCCTGTCAGCAGATATTCAGAGGCCCTGGCTTTTGGCTGCTGCTTCTTAATGCCAGGTTGGTCTGTAATAAGGCTGCCCTCATCAGTGATTTAATCCTTGATCAGAGGGCTGACCTTGCATGTATCACCGAGACCTGGCTGGATCCAAAATGGGGGTTGCCCTTTTGGAGTTATGTCCAGTTGGGGTTCAGGTGTGGCATCAGCTGTGATCCTGGGGCAGGGGTGGAGGTGTGGCAGTTGTCATCCGGGAATCCCTTACCGCCTTCAAGGACACTGCACCACAGGTCACCAGATGTGAGACCCTGTTCATTAAGCTGGGCTCTAGGGATCCATTGGGATTGCTGCTGTTGTACCAGCCTCCCTGCTGCACAGCAACTTCCCTGCCTGAGCTCCTTAACGCCATTTCTGGGCCAACAGTGAAGTTCCCCAGATTTATGGTTTTGGGGGACTTCAATCTGCCTTCTCTAGGAATGGGGTCTGAGGTGGCTCAGGAGTTCATGGCCACCATAATGGTCATGGGCCTATCCCAGTTCATCCAGAGCCCGATGCCGGACAGTGGTCACACACTTGATCTGGTGTTCCTGTCAGAGCAGTGACTATGTGATCTGAAATTGGGGGAGCTTTTAGTGTCATGGTCAGATCATGCCCTGATTACCATGGGATTCTCCAGAGCCACTATCTGCTGCAGGGAGGCTGGACCCATTAGATTGGTCCACCCCCGACAACTAATAAACCCTGATGGGTTCCAGAGGGAGCTGGAGGTTGATCCTGCTGGTCTGTTGCATGGTCCATCCAAAGCCCTGGTCACTGCTTGGAATAAGGGGATGGCTGAGGCCTTGGATTGGATCATGCCCATGCAACCTCTCCCCTCCTGTGGATCCTGTCACTCCCTGTGGTTTACGGAGGAGCTGAGGGAGATGAAGCAAGAGAAGAGGTGTTTACAGTGTTGCTGGTGCTCAAAGAGGGACAAATTAGACCAAACACAGGTCAGAGCCGCTATTAAGGCCTAGCTAGTGGCAGTAAGGGCAGCGAAGCCCTTATTGAAGTAACTTATCATTACTTCTCCGCTCTTATTGTGTCCACAGATAGCCACCCTGCAGCCCTGTTTTGGGTGACACGAGCCCTCCTAGGTAATGGGGGCTTGGAGCACCTCTTACAGAGGCGTGTGGATGAATTTGCTCAGCATCTGTTGCACAAAGTTGCTTGGATTAGTTCTCAGTTGGATGCTGGCTTTGTTGCAGGTCCAGTGGAGATGCCTAGGGAGGAGTCTTGGCCTGTTATCTAGGAATGATTTGAACCTGTTGGACCTGAGGAGGTGGACAGGGTCCTTAGGACTCTGAGCTCAGCCACCTACTTTTTAGATTCATGCCTCTCCTGACTGGTTAAAGGGCCAGGGGGGTGTCATGTGAGTGGGTTCTAACAATGGTTAATGCTTCCTTGAGTGAGGGGGTTGTTCCTTCACCTATTAAGGAGTCTTTGGTTTGCCCCCTCCTCAAGGAGCCATTGCTGGACCCCACTATACTGGTCAATTTTTGTCCAGTATCCAACCTCCCCTTTTTGGGGAAGGTGATTGTAAAGATGGTTGCATAGCAGCTTTGGAGGACCTTGGATGAAGTGGATTATCTGGATCCCTTTCAGTCTAGATTCAGGCCTGGTTATGGGAATGAAACAGCATTGGTTGCACTTTTGGATGATCTCTGGCGAGGGCGAGATGAGGGCTGTGCATCCATCCTTGCCCTATTTGACCCCTCTGAGGCTTTCGATACCATTGACCATGGTATACTTCTGGATCGGCTCAGAGGATTGGAGGTTGTTGTGCTGGTTCACCTCCTTTCTCCGGGACCAATTCCAGTTGGTGGTAGTCGGGGAGGAGAGATCCCGCCCTTGGCTCCTACTATGCGGGGTGCCACAGGGTTTGATACTTTCCCCTCTCCTATTTAACATCTACATGAGGCTGCTGGGTGAGCTCATCCATCGCCATGGGGTGAGGTATCATCAGTAAGCCGATAATACCCAATTATACATCTCTGGCCCTGGAGAATTAAGCAATGCTGTGAATGTCTTATCCTGGTGCCTGGAGGCAATGAGGGTCTGGATGGGGAACAACAGGCTTCAGCTGAACCCTGGCAAGACTGAGTGGCTTTGGGTTTTTGGGCCTTCAAATGCTAGGACTATGCCATCTTTGGTGCTGGATGGAGTGGCCCTGCCCCGACAGACCTGTTGCGCAATCTGGGGATCCTCCTGGACTCACAACTCCTGCTCAAAGAGCAGGTGGCAGTTGTGGCTAGGAGGACCTTTGCACAGCTTTGTGTTGTGTGTCAGTTGCGCCCATTCCTGGTTTGGGGGACTCTGCTCACAGTCACTCATGCCCTGGTCACCTCTTGTTTGGACTTCTGTAATGCACTCTACATGAAGAAATGCTGCCCTTGAAGAGTATCTGGAAGCTTCAGCTGGTGCAAAATGCAGTGGCATGGGCAGTTATGTACGCCTCTAGAAGGGTACATGTTGCACCTCTGCTCCACGAGCTGCATTGGTTGCCAGTTTGCTTCCAGGTCCAATTCAAGGTGCTGGTTTTGACCTTTAAAGCTCTTCATGGCATGGGGCCAGTTTATTTGGGGGACCGCCTCTCCCCAGTTACATCTGCCCATCCCATCAGGTCTGGCAGAGAAAGCATGCTGTGGGTCCTGTCTGT